TACACATGTCTGCTGCCCCCTGGTGGAGGATCTACTGGTGGTGAGGGCATGTTTACTTCTTCATCACGGTTTACTACAGTTATATTTTCATTAAATTACATAAAACATTCAAAACAACAGCAATAAAGAGTTTATTTTATCAGCTTTAAATAATAAATAGTTCATTATCACTGCAGCACAGCCTCTTAAAAGTTAATAACCAATATTATCATTTATTTGCTCCTTACTCTTGACTTTTAAACACGATGCTGTAATGAGCCTATTAATGTGCCTTCTTCTCATCTTTAAAACAGCTGCTAATCAGCTCTCAAGCATCATTTTAGCTCTTGAACGTAGCTTTCATGAAGACCGGCAGCCTGCCTCCCATCACTCCTGATACCCGTCAGACATCCGCTCTCTCGGGACCCGGACGCCGACCTACCGGCTTTAGCTCCAGGCTCATGGAGGTGCTCCTCCCGGCTCAAGTGTGAGTCAAGTGGCACAACAGGGAGTGAAACGCACAGCTGAGGTAAACAAATCCCGAGCCCATAAATGACCTGTCACAACATGTTTCATGAGTGGGAGGATGACTCAATCACTGGTTATGTGGGGCATATGGTGCCACTGGTCACAGTGAAATGAATACAGGCCAACTGCTGAGCAGGAAGTTAGGGGGCGCACATGAGGTGGTGATCAAATATACCAACTCACTTAACCTGCTTTGCACTGAGAAACTGCTCCTTGCACCAGGAAGCCGACACAACTTATTAAAGCTGGCTTAAATTGTCACTTTGCATTCATTTAACAACTTCTTATTAATGTTTACACAGCTTCAGAGTCAGTATTTCTCACTTTCTGTGTCAGGAAAACAAGGTCTTGGCTCAGCAGAGGCTTAATATAGCAATACTCATGTCTGCCAAAAGGTAAAAAGACAGATGGGCTGCATGAGCTGAGGCAGAGGAGGGAAGGTAAGAGCGAAGATAGAGGCAGCCAGAAGGAGGAGAAGTTTAAAAATTCAGCACTGGTTAAAGAGGAGCACAACTGTGAAAAAGATCGGATGGAGCAAAACAAGACGGAAAAAGGAGTGGAGGAGGATACTGGGAAAAAATGCTAAGTATGGAGAGATGGAGGCTGACGTGATGGGGTGAGTGACAGGCCGTCACTCGGTTGGGGTTTTAAACCTCGGTGCGCTGCAGCAGCTTGGACGTGTCATCAGAAAAATAAAAATAAAATACAAAACACCCTTTTGTGCTCCTCCACAATGCTGTAGGAAGAGAAGCACTCTGATTGCATCCATATTGTTAAAAATAGACAGCCGAGCAGGTTATGTAAACAGTTTTACTCCACAGCGCATGAGCCAGGTCCAATTAATGGCTTCTGGTCTCCTACATGAAACATTAAGTGTGAAGATCTGCAGGTGACGAGGCCTGAAAACAAACTAACTAACGTGACAACGTGTGATTATAGGAATGACGACTGTCTTCGTAAAAACCCTTAAACTAACAATAAAGTGAGCTGGTACCAATTAGAGCTAATTAAAGCTGAATTTTCTCACACTCTGCCTTTTCTGCAGGACACTTTCTGCAAAACTGCCATTTGAAGCATCACTATAACTATGTGCTTATTAAAACTTTTAAGAGCATATTAAAAAAGGTTCAGAAGAACTTTTTGATATCCTATAATTTAGAGATGGTGTCAGGCTTTTAAACCTACGAACACGCTCCAAAACAGCTGATTAGTTTCTGGTTGTGTGACTTTACAAACACTAGCGATGATTCCATTAGTTTGTCTGAATGAGACCAAAAAGCCTCAGGCCTCACAAGCTTGTGCTGTTCCCCAGCATTTATTTCTCCCACACCCAGAAAAACTATTTAGCTCTTGAAGGACACCTGGAGGTTGAAGACAAAACAAAATGAATCATTTTCTGTTTATAAAAACGAACGCTGAATCTGTTGCTGGGAGGTATAGTAAACCTATTTCTGACTCCAAATCTGAAGTTTATGCAACGACAGACGCCACAGCATCAGCGCATCGGCTGCCTGTGTGCAGGTTTCTGGATGTTGACTGAGTAAATTCAATCATGTTCACTTGTTATTAGGAATTTGAATAATATTCCACCTCAGCGCTCCTCATGTTGGATGCAGGTAAACGTGCACACAAAGCTAAGGCGATGGAGTGCAATCTGAAGGATTCATTTCTGAAAAGTAGTTGTAATGAGTTCAATTCCAGGTGTGCTGATCCACGCAAAGTAAATATTTCATTACATCTTTGATTAAATACTGATAAATTAGGCCTCTTAAAGACACCTGGCAATCAAACCAAATCAAGTCTTTCATTATTTATACTTGTTCTTAGAAATGCACCTAAAAGTTACTTGTGATTGGAATAAGCCATTGTACTAGCCTAGAAATCTAGACAGATGTGAGCAGAACTCAAAGGAATTAGCTCTGCAGGTCAGCCGAGCCACACTCCATTACAGCAGGTCTTGTGTTGTGCCAATCACAGCGCTTCATCGGTTTGGTGGGCGGGATGTTACTGCAGCTGAGCAAAGCAACAAAGATGGTGGCGACTCGTTCTAAACATCTTTGGCATCACAATTGGACTATTTACTTGGGCTTTTCTTTGAGTCAACAGCAGATAGAGGTACTTAAGTCCTTTATTTAGAAAAAGTACGTATTAGCGTCTGTGTATGGCAGACTGCCTCCGTAGAGGTTTGAGTTGTTCCTGGTCCAATAGCAAGTGGAGGCAGAAGACAACCGTAGATCTCGCCCCATGGCTGAGCTCTCTCTATGGTAGGCCAGCTAACTCTCAGGAAAACTATTTTCTCACTCGGCATTAAAAGCATCCATCTTCAACGTTTCTGCTGACATTAAACCAGATTTAATGCAGCTTTTCTGTTGTTTGCAACAAAAAACAGAAACATCAGGAAAACTAATAAAACCTAAACGTCATTAGGGTGAAGTGCAGTTTTTCAAAAGTAAATATGTAAATGTTACAACAAAACTTTATGCATCATTACCCACTAAATATGCAGAGCTATTTAAGCTAATTAACTTCCCAAAGCACATGCACGGCCTCCTGGATTCTTGCATGCAACTGCAGCAGGAACAAAAAGTGGATGATTGTGTGGCTGGTGAGGCAACATGCTTCCTGTGCAACTGCTGCTGTAAATAAGCCCAATGACAAAGAGGCACTGGAAGAATAGTGGCTTCACCGACCAGCTTAAAGAGACAGTCCACGCCAAGATCACTCTCCTCAACACTCAGTGACAGCACCAAATGGTCAGAAATCAGCTGTTTTTGGTTAAATGCATTTATACAGACTTGTGTCACACAGCGGGCGCTTTGGAGTGAACTGCAGCTTTAAGAGGGGGAGAAACTTGCAGGTCACTGCAGCACCTGGACAGTTTCAACCACCGGCTGTAAACTCAACCTGTCAGATCAGACGGCGACAAAGGAGGTCAGTGAGGGAAGATTCAACAAAGGAGGCAGGTACACTTAAAGGGTTAGTCCAACTAAAAACAAAAAGAGCGGAAAGATAAATAAATCAGGCAGATGAAGTGGGGGTGAGTCCCCCCAGAGGTCAGTGAGACAGATAAAAGGGTAAAAGGGGTCAAAGGTGAGGAGCCAGAACTTCTGCTTTAGGGGGATGTGATCACTGTGGGCCCACAGACCAAGAACACGATTTTATTAGCAGCCACCAACTAAGCTAAACTGTTCAAATGTGCTATAAAGCTTAGGAGTGCTGGCTTTAGGGGGGTTCTACGGCACACTAGCTGTGTTTTTGTAGTGAAAAGCTGCAGAGGTGAGGAGAAGGGGAATTATTCAGAGTTGTGTGACCTTTAACAAGAGCCAGAATCGTGTGCATGTGTGTGTGTCCAGAAGTGGTAAATCACATAAAAACAGCAATAATGCAGTTTTCTTCATTAAAACTATTAAGATGGTCTGATTTTGGAGTCTCTGACTTTCGAAGCAGCAATTCAGTTTTCCCCCTTTCAGAAATGTTGTAGGATTCTTTAGAAATCCATAAAAGTGAGCCTTAACCTGTACTGTGATATAACATAGGTAATACGTGTTTTTATTTTTCGCCAAACCCCCCCTAGTTTCACAAAGCCCCATGCAATAGCCAATAGCAGTAGGCATCTGCTTACATGCTGATGTCACAGAGTTTGCGCGCGTTTGCAGATGAACCTAGACTGATGCAGATTAGGCAACATTTATTATGGACAAGTAAGTTTAAAAAATACATAAAAAGTTTAAAGATGTAAATCTATCTATTTTCAGACTTTTATTTCATACAGCCTGCAGTTTTAGACAATCTTAAAACTGCTAATTAATTTATATTTTATATTTTACAAAGAACAAAGGATTTTCAATTTTGTTTTAGACTTCAGGAAATAAGTAGAACTTTGACAGATTTAGGTCACAATTAAAACTAACTGATGATGAAAGTATTCAGATCTGATAAATTATTAAGCAGGGATGATCGTAATGTCATGTTTAATGAGTGAAATGACTCCATGGCCTCTGAGTCCTCCACCGCTCTGACAGCTGTCCAAAAGAAGCCATTTTTAAAAACCCTACAGATTTGCATCTTTGCTCCTGAGCTTCTGTGACCATCAGAGATAGCTGGAGTGGTTCGAAGGAAACACAAGTCAAGCTGGTGACTGATGATACAGGCTGCGTCTGTTGCCATGGTCTTTAGAAGTATAAATAACCCCTCAGAAAGCCGTCTGGCATCAGTGTCCCCCTGCAGGAATCCAGACCCTCTTGATCAAAAGGTTCAGGCTGAGTTCACCCTCCTGCTCTCCTCTAATGAGACTGAAAACACTCATTTGACTTGTCTCCATTATCTTAATCTTCATTATTTTTCTATGCAAGTCAGTAGAATTAGCTATGACACTTTTGTGCCCGCCTCAGCCCACGCCCGCTCATCTTAACAGAAAGACGAGGAAAAGTCAAATTAAACGGTGGGTGGAGGAGGTGGGATGAGGGGGGGGGGGGGGGGCGCTACTGTACAAGACAAAGAGGTGGGCGTATTCCCCGGCCAGAAGCTGCTCCAGAACATTCCGACTTCTGGCATTTTTCTAAATAGCACCAGGTCAGCAGGTTCCTGCTTTAGCATTTTTGTTTTCTCAGTTCTTTACATAATGTCATGTAGCCACATATGTTTGATCAAATGGTTTAAAATTAGCCCGATAAAGCATGATAGTGGGGACGGCCACTGACTACGAGTTACACTGGTTTTTGGTCCGTTTTACTGGAGTCACAGTTGGTTTTAATGATTCACAACAGCTACTTTAGGCCCCTCAGAGCTGCGATCATTTTAAATTTACACAAATCCAGAACTCAGAAAATGACAACTGATGGTTCTAATCAACCTGACAGGGAACAACAATTCTTAATTATTTTGTCATAAGGTCTAAAAAAATATGCCTTTGGATTTAAACAGGAAACAGTTTTAAATGATCTTTTATTATTTAGGTGGAAACTGAAGTCATTTGAACTCAATTAGTGACATTAGCGCCATTCTTCTAAAGACCAGAAAAATATCTTAAGTGAAAAATCTCTTTTGTCTGTTTGCTTCTGTTACAGTTCTCTTTGTTGGTTTGCATGGAAACTACAAGCCATCTGCTGCACCAACATGACCACCAAACCTGCCATCACACAAGAACACCAGAGAACTTTGTCTGGTAGCTTTTAACACATCTACTCTTTAACCTTTACTCTGTGAGGTATGGACTCCTGACAGAGGACGTCTAATGGGGCTTAAAGGAGATGTACAGTTGGATGTCATCTGCATAAAGATGGTAGGAGAGTCCTTTAAAAGAGCCCAGGATGTGTTGGAGAGAGAGCAGATAGAGGAGCAACAGTAGAAGCCCCAGCACAGAACCTTGTGGGACACCATGGGTAAGGGAGGTGGAGGAGGACCTAAACTTGGAGACGGCCACAGAGGCTCATACAGACAACCACTCCAGAGCAGTTTCTTATAGGCCTACCCAGTTTGTGCTCCCAGTAAATACCTAGTAAGTAAATACTCCAAATGATTAAGTTGCAGATTTAAGTTTTTGTTGTGTTACAGAAAGTTTTCCAGAGACGAGGTGAGAAAGTCATACTAATCCGTTTGCACGATGACAGTGGCTGAAGTTCCTCTTCCTGCACATTTCCAAAATATTAATATTAGATCAGGTTAAATCTGGAGTGTAGTGAAAGCTGTCAGACAGCAGCATCTGCACTGACTGGTGCCAGCAGTCACAGCTGTACGTTTTAATGTGTTTGTAAAGTAGACACAAAACACTTCCTAATTACTACAAGGTGACTAGGTACTTTAATCTGTCGCTTCCTTGTTTATCTGTGAAGTTGTCATGTGAGCATCACCTCTCCAGAATAACCTAGTTGGATTCAGTCCTTCATTTCTTGTTTATGTATAATGAAACTAAATGAAACATATTTTTGTCTAGCAGTGTTATCTGCAAGGCAGTGTTTATTATTAGAGGTTACTATCAACACCAGCTTACTGTAGACTCTATACTAAATGTTGGTTGTAACGTACCAGTGGTCAAATTTTCACCAACAAGTTGACCAGAAACTAACTTATTTGCAGACACAAACTCACCATCGGTCTGGCCCAAAATAAGTCCTGAGTCCTGAGACTAACCTTCTCAGTCAAGGTCTCATGTGGAAGCGAGACTCACGCACTTCTCACTCTGAATAAAGTTCACACTCCTCAAAGTTCCTACGTGACTTATAAGTTGAAATAATCAAATGTGTTGAATGAACCAGATGTTTAGATCAAATGTTTGAATAATCTGTGCTTTAATCAATGATGGGTTTAAAATGAATATCTTTCTTGCAATGATCCATTTCAGATCTTAACTACTCCAGATCGGTATGTTGATTTAACAAGTTTATCTATCAGTATACTCATTATAATAAGATAATTATTAATGTTTAACATCCGCTCCACATAAGTGTTTAAACATTCGCATTCACACAAAGAGTTAACCATCTTTGTATCTGAAGGGAGGAATGACTGAGGTATTTTTGGTAATGCCCTCAAACGTGTCAAATGCTGATTTGCCAACTTTATAAACAACGGGATTTGATAAAACAGAATTGTTTCCGGAATTAATCATTTCCAGCTGACTTCCGATTGGGCCAAATCGGTGGAAAAAGCATTTTGAAACCGTTTTCTCTTTGACATCAAGTCAAAGCCTGACACTCCTTACTGCTACACTGTTCTTGTGAATATTTATTAAAAAACATCAAAGTCTTTATAGATGCAAACATTTTAGGACACCCATGTATACGATTGTCTGCAGTGGTGTTATTTTATTCTGGGTCTGTTTTCCAGCTCCTGATTGGTTGTTTTCTCCTCATCGGTTCTCTGCTGTCTACCAGCCCACCCTGTGGCTGCTGTAGGATGTGTGCTCCACAGATACAGACACAAAGTCAGTTATCTGGTTTAAATAACAGACAAAAAAAAAAAGTCAGAGCGCCTGAGGCGTCCTTTAGAGTAGCAATGCTGTTCCTTCCACACCAGCTCGTCTCCCGCCGTCATCAGCCAGGCAGTCTCGAAGATATATTCTGTCCAACACCCTCTTCTCCCCAAGGATGCCCGACTCCCAGCTCTGAGTCCTGCAGCTTATTTATTTGTTATGGACTTTTCTTGTTTAAGCCTGAATAGCTCATCACTGCAGCCACAGAGCCAGGATGTGTGAACAGAAGCTTTCTCTACCAGCTGAGGATTTAGCTTCGGCTCCTTTTATAAGATCATAGTTTCAGTTCCTATGAAAAGAATAAGACCTCACAAGCTTGTGACGTTCATGAGGGCAAAAAATGAATGTTAAGAATCAAGTAATGACTAAATATTTAACAGCATACTGGACTTTTACAGGCCAGAGTTGCTTCTTTAGGCAGTTTAGAATCAACAAGGTCTCTGCAGCCCAAAGTTTATTTGACAGCTTCACATGTTGTTTTAAAGTATCGACAATTAAAACCTGTTTGAAATGCATGCAGAGGGTTTGATGAATACATGTTTAGTGTTTTACCAAAAACGACCTTTAACTAAACCTAAGAAAATATTTAAAAAATATGTAGAAGATACATTTTGTGTCTCTTCCAGGGAGACTAGGCAGTTTTGGTTCGTCTTTAGCACCCTCTAGTGTCCGTTTAGTGAAACCAAAAGTGAAACTCATCTCGTCGCTGTGCGTTAATCTTTTTAACACCCTAATCTAACAGCTAAAATGTCTTCTCAGCCTACAGAAGTGGTTCATCACTAAATTCAACAAATCAGCTGTGTTCATGAACTAAAGGATGCAGGACACTGGAAGCAGCTCGCTACTCTGAAGTTGCAAGTGCGATAATCTGGCTACAGAGGGCAGTGGGGTTCTGGGTGACATTTCATGAATCATTTTAAAAGCACATACTGGCTCAAGAAAAGTTGCATAGTATCACTTTAATTTTGTGACTGAAGCTGGGAAATTCACATCAAAGCGGGACTAACAAACTACGTGTTAATCAGAAATGTTTCCTAGCATTAGGAGTCAAAGTTGCATGTTAGTAAGTTAATGGAAGTGGAAGTTCACCCTGGAATAACATTCTCTCTTGTTTTAATGCATACCATCCTTGGTATTCCTGAATGAACAGCACCCAACAGAAGCAGATTCCTGGTCAGGACTTTTGATTTTAATCAGCTATTTATAATCCTCCCAGTTGGAGGCGTCTGGAGTTTAAACATCCATAACGGGAATGCATGCAGCAAAAAGGAAACTGTTAAACCAGAGTGAAACTGCATGGCTTTTTCTTGTTTTTTATTTTAGTTAGTGTGGTTAGGAGTGCAGAGTTAGGCGATCGGGGCCCAGCAGTGAGATCCCCTGCAGGTCAGAGTTAAATGGGAACAGGTGTTCGCCCCCTTACCCTCCATCTCCACACTGATTGGCTCTGAGTCAGGTGACCCTTGTTCCCCCACTGGGGGATCAGGACGATCAGGACCTGTACCTCTTTCAGAGTCACCTGCCTCCTTTGGGAACACCGCCCCGTGACGGGTTGTGCTGGCACTTGTGGGGGTGGTCTTCCCTGTGGTTGCAGTGGAGGGGGAGGAGGAGGGGGGTGGGTAACAGAGGGAGTGATTAGTGAAATGTGAATCAGTGTGGACAATCAACTTCAGAGACATGAGGATGAGTCTTGAGTGTAGAAAACAAAACCCTGTGATGACGAGCGGCATCAGAAACACACAGAGCAGCAGTCAGCGGTTGGGTTTTACACCTTTGGTGGGTTTTATGACTCTGAACACATGAAAGGTTCCTGGACTTAAAAAGACTTGGTGGCTGAGCAGCAAAAATCATTATTTCAGCAGACATAAGAAGTTCCACCTGAATGTGACTCAGAGAAATCCACACTTTGCTGCTTTATTTAGTTTTAGCTGTTTACAACAGGGGGAAATATTAAATATTTATTAATCAACTTATACAGCTGGAAAACACTAGCCTACTAGACCAACCGTAGCTAAGCTGTAGTGTAAAGCGCTTTGGAGTCCTTACTCTGAGAGGCGCTATACAAGTGCGTGTCATTTATCATTATCATTAAAGATTTAGCTCTGCAGGTCGATCTAGCCACGCTCCATTGTTGCCTCAGCAGGTCATGACACAGTTTTGTGTCTGTCCAATCACAGCGGTCTATGTTTGTAGAGAGACATTGTGCACGCTTAGCACCAGAGCTGCAATGGAGAAGGGAAACAAAGATGGCGTCGACTAAGGACCTGTTTGAAACCTGCTCTGGTATCAACTTTGGACAACTTGGCCTTGGGCTTTTCTTTGAGACATGAGCAGTCCTTCGACGGAGTACGGCCAACTGAGCTCTGTCTATGGGTCGTGTCCAGACTATATATTCACATACATAGGATGGCTATCCAGGCTAGAAAACCCCTTAATTGCCCTTAAATGGACCCAGAATTTGCTATGGTTGACTTTTTTGTGTTATTTTTTACACGTAGGTAGATCCGGACACTGATGGATGGTTAGACAGGATGTTTATCCCCAACAGTTGTTTTCCTGACCATCTTATCCGAGCCATTTCATAACCACCTCCATCCTCCTGGGGGAAAACAACTACAAGCATCATTAGCGCTAGAGAAACACGCTGGACTTAAGCTGCCCTGGTGTCATCAAACATGTTTATCTTGATGCTTTGCTCCACATCTTGATTGCAGGATAAACTCTCTGTTGTCCTTAAACTACGCAGAGCTGTGATTGGCTCGGGCTAATGCACTAATAAGCCAGCCCTAATGTCAGCATTCTGCAGAGCTCGCGCTCAGGCTGCAGGAAAATCGCTTTTTTTCTTGCCAACTGTGAGCCAGTTGACAATGTTCAGTTTGAACGAGGTGTCCTGTCACTTCACCATCTGTGCCGGGCAAATGAAAACTCTCCACCACAGGGTGTTCGGCCCTGGAACTCCTCAGCTTCACCGTTATCACAATTAGTGTTTATGTACGGTTACGTGGAAACTTATGTTTAATATTTAATTTTTTTATTTTATTTGTAAAAAGAAAAAATAAATAAACAACAACGAAGGATAAGGAGACCCAGACGTTTGACTCGCAACATCTTCTTGGCTCACTGGGACGATGTGGGAGACAGAAACGGCCCCTGCATATGGTGGAAACGGATCCCCCTGTGACGACAGCTCGGCTCAACATACGGGGTGTTTTATTGTCTAGAAAAGCTGATAATTGATCTTTAGTGGAGAGGCTTTAAAGGCTTTTGTGTGAATCAGTGTGAAAACAACACACACACACACACACACACACACCAGATCCAAAGATCTCGCTGCAAGATGGGAATTTAAGGCGGCACTGTGAATTACTGGGGTGTGAGAACTCCGTAGGGTTGCTCATCAAGTCTCGATGCCGACTGAGCAGCAATTCCTCCTTAAGGGCTTTGGAGACGACTGAGCGACTGTAGAGATCCAGACCGAAGTCTTTGGTGAACAAAGTGGCTTCTTTTCACACAACACAACAGATGTAAAGGCTTCTGCTCAGCCGTGATGGATGATCATCTTCCACGACGGGCTCCGACACTAATCTCAGTCTTGGATCTGCTGCTGCCATTAGATGGCCCACTTTGTGCTTTTTTGTGGCAAAAGAATCAGACTTTCAGAAAACTCCAAACTCCCCAGAACATTTGTTTGGTGCCTTGAGTTCTGGTACAAAAGCAAATCGGCCCGATCTTCATCTGTCAGATTAAAACGACCTGGTTTTGACAGCCAGATTATTCAAACACCACCTCTGACTGACGGGAGGTGCTGCCATCTTAACTGGTCTTGCTCACAGCGGCTCTGTCAGGGAGGGAGTAATGGGACGTGACAGGGATGATGATCTGTGCAGATCCAGGGCATTAGGCATCTTGCCCTGCGGAGCTCCCGGTCCATCGGAGGAGCGACGTTCCTCACAAAAGCTTCAACGTTTCAACCGTCAAACGGGCTGAGAAGAGGACGCTCGTTCCATTTAGCTCCAACCTCCCACGTTGTCAAGTTTAAATACACGGCCTTTGTTGGTTTCTAACTGAATAACTCCCATCTCCTTCTCCCAGTGAGTAGGTGGAGGTTCAACATGTTCAGCGCAGCTTTAGTCAAACAACAACATCATTCTCTAATCTGGATAATTTCGTGTTTTTTCCTGTTCGGATTTGTGTCACACTCATCGTTTTCACCACAACAAACTGAGTTACAGCAAACTTAATCCTTGTTTTGGTGGAAATCCCACCATCGGTGTCATTTTGGATTTATCCACAGACTTCATACACAGGAGGTGGGCTGGATAAATGTTGGGTTGGTTTAAATCACATTTCAGTGTTGAAGCAAAAACCAACTCACCTGCGGACTTCTCCGATCAATTCCAGAACAGGGATTTTAAATGAGTTCTCAGACGTAGCAAGCTGTTTGTTTTACATACGACTATGATCCTTTCCTAAATCTTGCAGGTGGTTTTGATTTCATAACCTCTTAAAAACAAACACAAAAGGAAAGATGGTTTAAAAAAAAATCCCAAACAAGATTACGAACGTTCCGAAACGAGGCTGCAGCTTCAAAAGGCTCTTGGTGCGCATACATCTAAAATCCTGAGAACCAAAATGTTCACAGAAGCAAAACGCCCAAACAGATAAAGGATGTGGGAGTTCGGTCAGGACAAGCTGGTAAGTAAATAAAAGAGGACGTCCACTGACCGTACACAGAGTCGAGCGCCGTGTTTTGCTTGCGAGTGGTCGCCAGGACGTCTGCAGAGGAGCAGAAAACAGAAGAAGGATTTGAACATCTTAGGTGTGTTCTTGCTGTGTCGTGGTTCTAATTCCATGCTTTTGTTCTTTTTAAAACACAGAAACAGTTTTGTTTACCTGTTTTGTAGCTACGTTTCGCCGCCGGCGAAACGTAGCTACAAAACAGGTAAACAAAACTGTTTCTGTGTTTTAAAAAGAACAAAAGCATGGAAGAAGAAGGATTAACGTCTGTCGTCTTTAAATGCTGCTGATCGCCATCAATCAGGCCTGATTACCAAAATATAAAAACTAATAACTGGAATATTCTCTTCAAGCTCTTTCAAAATCGACTGAATTACTAACAGGTTATAATTAACAAACAGATTATAATCCTGCATCCTCATGTTATTGTAAACAAATCAGAGTAAACGTTCTCTGGCCCACCGTGGCAGCTCTCCGGATGCTGATGGTAGCCGTTCTCCACGTCCTGCTCGAACCCAGCTCTGGAGACGGACACACACACACACACACACACACACACACACACACACACACACACACACACACACACACACACACACACACACACACACACACACACACACACACACACACACACACACACACACACACACACACACACACACACACACACACACACACACACACACACACACACACAGAAGCCCATCAGTACATTTGCTTCAGTTCTACCTTGAATATTCGTTTCTAACAAAGCACATCTTCCCAAAACTAGACGTCTGTTTGGAGGCGGGAGGTAAGAGCCCTATTCCAGAATTTAACGTGTTTTGTGTCTTTTTGTCTACACAGTGTTACCAGTGATATCTGTAAGAAAAAAAACCCTTTAATTCCTCCTGCAAGTTGCAAAGCCTTCGTTCTGAAGCTTTCAGTAGATTGTGGAAGTTTGCTTGTGAGGGGAAGTTGGACTTCCCCCGTGTGACTCCTCACTTGTATTCCGGTTAGTCATTAACTGCTGCAAAGCACTTTCTGCAGCTACCAGGCATTTTAGAGTATCAGGGCCACCGCTGCTGAAATTGCTACCTACAGTTTGCCTGCTCTGCAATGAGCGCCTCAGTGTGTGATTGTGGAATGTCAGTGGAAATAATCCTGAGAGAAGTGTCGATTCGGAGCCAACGGCACAAAAAGATGTCATTCTGCAGTGATATTCATGAAGACGTTTTCTCCTGCTGTTGATGGCACGAGGCATACAGTCAGTGTGTTATGGACAGCTCTCAGAAGCAATAAGAGAAACGGGACCAGATGAAAACACACAAATATGGGAGCGTTACTAGAAAGCTGCATTTCTTTGGGAGAAATTCCGACATAAAAGCAACAAAATGTGCAATTCAAAGATTGGTATGCAAGGAAATGTGTTACCATAATGTTACCATCCTTTTCAGAAACATGGTGATTTTTACGTGAATTAAAGTCTCTCAGGAAACGTTCACATCTTTTTTGTAGGAGTGTATAGTAGAGGCAGCCTGAAGAAGAAAACCCGTCTAGAAAAAGTTGAAATAAAGTCAAAAGTAGGATATTTAAAAAGGACTTGTGCTCATGATGTATTATTAATATTATTGTTGTTATTGGGGCAGCTGTAGCTCAGGAGTTAGAGCGGGTTGTCCAGTATTATTGTGCTGTAAAGCACCTTGGGGGGTTCTAGGACTCAAGAAGGCACTATATCAAATACAGGTCATTTACCATCAATATCATCATCATCATCATCATCATCATCATCATCATCATCATCATCATCATCACTAAGGGTTCCAGGCGCGTTTTTTCATTCCATATTTTTTACCACAGAAAATAGAAATTATGAAAAAGAAAATACATTTTTCATATTTTTGTAAAAAATAAACACCCCCCCCCCCCAATTGATTGTTCCAATAGAAATGCAACTAATGATGCATAATTTACAGCATCCTGATGGAGCATCAGGATTAGCACCTTCATCAGAAACCTGCCATATCCAGTTCTTTACATGTCTGCTGCCCCCTGGTGGAGGACATACAAGTGGAAAGGCCAGTTTTATATTTCTTAAATATTCTTATATGGTTACATACTTTCAAATAAGGCAGGTTATTGTATAGTTGTTATATTAACACAGACCAATAATTGTTTCTTTTTTATAATCTTTTCATACTTTAGGATTTAAATAACTATAATGGTAATCATATTGGTTACACTGTTTTAGAAAGAAACAGAATGAACAAAAAATGCTTCAACTTCAGCCTAAAGAAAAAAATAAAATAAACGTTTTTGTAAAATATTTGACATTTGAGTTGTTTTCTAAATGTAGACCAGATATCCAAACCCATTGAATCCAACTTACTTCAGCATGAAGAGATTTTCTGCTGCTGTGATTAAAACGAGCCAACGTTCTCCCTCACGTAAACGTTTCATCTTTTACCTTCACATTAGTTAGAAATCAGCAGCTGATCCCGACACATCCGTTCAATTGCTCAGTAATGAGATTGACTCAAGCTTCTTTAACCGTGACCAGCTTCACGCCAATGCCAACAATCCTCCCACTCGTTGCAACGAACCAAATAAAACAGACACAGGCTCATAAACAGCTCCATCTCAACAGTAATGATCCGGTATCCACTTTGTACGAGCATCCATGCACACCCACCCCCTAACACACCAATTAGCGCCTTATATAACCTAAACACTAAAATATACCTCGCAGAGATTTCTGTCATTCACCTACAGTATAATTAGACGTCCTTCACAAATACGCAGGATCTACATGGACGCAAGGAAAAGGACTGATGGGGTGGAAGACACAAAACCAGGCCAAAATCAAGTAGCTAAAATATGAAATAAAATGAAACATAAATCTTTAGCATAGCATAGCATAGTTTATTTACAGTATATAGCACGTTTAAAACGCAGCATGGGAGCTGCCCAAAGTGCTGCACAGGCTAAAACAAAACACAACTATTTGAAAGAACTAAAACTGAGGATAAAAATCCCAATCAAAAGCAGATAAAACATGATGAATACTAAGAACACATTAAAACAATGATACAATAAAACACTAAAACGAGTCACTGTCTAAAAGCCAAATCGTTAAAGTGGGTCTTTAAACAAGA